TTTCTTCAAAGAAATAATCACACAACCAATAATCGTAACAACAAGGTCATTATACATATTATATATATATATATATATATATATATTTTTTTTTTTTAAAAAGAATTTCTTGCATACAAATACTACATCCGCAAACTTACTATTAAACAGCTGGAGATGACTTAAACAGATAAGATGCTGAAATCTATAATTATAATACCTTCTTAGTTTAAGAACGGAAGGAAAAATACGAATTTAGGCTGTACTTTTAAATTGCATAACGTTTTATTTTGCAGTATAGTTTCATTTCTAAATGTCACATTTCGCATCGAAGCGCAGCCATTTTACGGCACGTCCCACAATGCATTTCGATCTGTGACTTTACCGTAAAATGTCGAAAGTAGCGCACTCGCATTTACACCGAACGCATACATGCGGAACTTACCCACTAGATGGAAACGTTGACGTTGCTATATTTCCAAATTGATAACCAGTTAATACTACACTTAGGTGTGTAGCTAAAAATTATGGGCCCCTTACATTTTAAATCTTTCAATCGGTTAAAGACGGGAGGAATAATGTTCCCCTAGCGTTATTGTATCATTTCTGATTTTCAAGGATCGTAGAAAGTGCTGCCCCCCCCCCCCGAATCTGCCGGGGTAACAATGCCCCTCCGACCCCCCTTAGTTTTATACAACAGTATAAACTAACTAATCTGGCACATAAAAAATGTCAGTTAAACTTTATATTTTATTCGGTAAGATCTATACTAAGTTGAATTAGTAATGCTCCACACAATTTCATATGGGTAAAATAGAGGTGCCAGTAAAAACGGACGGACTAGATCAAAACAAATGACCTCTCCTCTACCACATTTTCCAGCGATCAAAATTGACATAGCTTCGTGCATGTGCGTATTGACACTTTCGTTCTTACTGTTCGAAGATACATAACAAACTAGCTTAATGGAATGTAACGTCGGGTTCACAGAAAATGGTAACTTTTGAAGACGTTTATTTGACGTCAATTTCTTAATTGCTATCGTAAGTTGAAATTAATGGAAAATTACAGAAAAATATTGGGAGAGGTAAATGTCATTTTTATTGCATATGGTCATTATTATAGTCGTATGCGATTAAAGTACACCCATTGTCTGATTTTTAAATGATAAATAGGACATTTCAGTAGTACTTGGAGAGCTAGTGTAACGTTCTGTAAAGGGTACAAAACAACAATTCTTACCAAATAGCTTACCTTTCTAAGTAAAACATCGTTAAAACTCTAAATAGGTGAAATGGGATTTAACACGTAACACGTTGTTATGGTTTATTTTGGTTTTGCATGCTGAGTATAAATATATAACATATAATGAGACAAATTAAATATGGGCTTGCAATATGAATGTGAATATTACAAATTTCTGAATGACTTCGAGGCTCTTTTTTGCATACAGAAAAGTTACACAACTTTTTTCAATATTATAATCCAAAAATTAAGCGTTTCTACACGTCATGCATGTGTGCATTCTGTAATTTATGCCCTGTTTTTAAATCAGCATATGTTTAAGTAGGCCTATACAGTATTTCTACATGGACAATGGATAATTCTTGGATATACAGTGGATACACACTACCAGTCGAAAGTTTTTGCACACTATGAGTCCACTTTTCTACAACACTTTTCCATTCATTTCATAAACTGCAGATTTTTCATTCTTCTTAAGCATTGAAAAACTGAGAGAACATATGTAAATGAAAATATAAGTCACATATAAAACAAGTCTCTTTTATAACCTGGAAAGAGTATGTAACAGTGCATGTCTGGCATCCTAGCTATTACCTGGTTGTGTGGTGATGGCATTGTCAAATTCTAGTTTGTCCTTTAACTTTAAATGCACTAGTTAACTGTCCTTAACTTAAATGTCCCTTGTTGAAAGAATGCCTCGAGTTTTCTCTGCTGTTATAACTGATAGAGGAGGTTACTCTGATGAATCAAAGATATGACATTTTCTTGCTAATAAAGGTACGTACCCTAAATGGTGAACATACTGTAAATTTATTTGTTAGCAAAGAACATCGTGTATTTTTAGTAAACATTAAGTAACATGCAAATGTGTGTGAAAAAACTTTTAACTGGTAGTGTGTGTGTTTGTGTGTGTGTGTATATATACACACATATACACATAAAGTACCAAATAGCACAAATTAAATAATTATATCTAATTTATTTTTAAACATTGCTAAATAAATCAGTTAAATCTTGTGTTATATCTAAAACACAAAATTCGTTTTTGGGCCCCACTGCATATTGTTTCATAAAGTAAGACCTCGGAATCACTTGGAAATAGAGACAGTTGCCCCATTTTTCCTTATAAAAACTTGACAAAATGACGATAACGCAGTCTCTTGTTTAGTGCCATTCTGGTAATAAACTCATACATTAATATCGGTAAGCACACAGACCGCTTTACCTACGTAAAAGTTGGTCACCGTCTAAAAATAAAAATGGCTGAATGGACTGGAAAGTCACATCGCAAACTATAACTGCAAGTACACTTATTCATTTGTCTGTCATGTAACTGTCTTATTTCCATTAAAATAAGTCCTTAAATCGAGGCCAGGGTGCATACAAAAATTCTCTGTGCCTTTGGCATGCTTTGTATGCATAAATAGTGAACAAACAAGCAACAATTAATTAGATTGAGGATAAGAGGAAGAAATTGATCTGGAACAAATGACAAAACATGCCAATCATTTGTTTTACATTTTAACATATTTGCCAAGTATGAATATTTTCCAGCTTGTTCATAATTTGCATGTGTTTCATGGTTAACTTTTTCCACGTATCAAGGGGGGTTTCGTTGAATATAAAAAATTTGATTGCAAGGGCTAATTGAAGCAATAAAGCATGAACAATGAAAAAGAAAGCAGATCATCAGAGGGCCATTATAACCAGTTTGCTTGTAGGAAACTCTGAATACATCAGAGAAAGCTGGTAAGATTAAGACTGTTTAGCATTATGCAAAAGCTATGCCAGAAAATGTGAGGTTCTGTGTTTTAAAAATGCATTTGAATATCTCTGTTTTGACGGGAACAGTGTGGGAAGGTGCATAACTACTTTGAAGAGGAAATGCTAACCCAAGACAAAGCGATGCATATACACACGTGGGAAAATGTGGTCATGTTACACAAACATCTCGTCATAACGTCTGTTCAATATCTTCTCCTCCACTTACTATTATAAATATGCTCTAGTTTAGCTACTATGTGCCAGATAACTTCACATCGCTACATTTATTCTGGAAAATTAAACATGCTGAAAATAAGGCGAGTTGTCTAGTTGAGTTCGTATAACAAGTTCAGCTGGCCTACTTAGTTTTTTAAACGTGTTACATAAAAGTGAAACTGGTGTTTTTGGATCGTGATACATATATATTTTAATAACAGAAGGCATCTTCTTAAGTTAGTACAAATGTATTAGTTAAGATTAAGCTTAGATATAATAATACAAATATTAAATAGTTGTTTATTGTAGTAGTATTAGTAGCAACGATAGCATACTATTTATCAGTGTGTTTTTTAGATTGTTTTTGGTTTAGTGTTGGTATAATAATGATATTAGTCTTATTGTGTATGGTTTAAATATTTAAAAGCTTGCAGTTGCATAATTTCCAAAGTAAATCATACCAAAGATCCGTGTTTATGATAAATGGTTGTCTCTACAAAACAATATTCTGGCTTGTTGAAAGCCTAGTTTAAAAAATTCATCAAATTATGCCAAAAGTATAAAATGTGAAATATGCAAAAATACTTATAAAATAGGGTTCTGGTATTTTTTTTTTAAGTGTTTTCACTGATAATAGACACATAGCATGAATTAAAAACCCAAATACGACTGAACCAATAGACCTACGAGTGGAAAAAAACCCCACCAATATTTGTGAGCAACACCTCCCAGTCTCATATTCATCATTTACCTCACTCAGCTGACCCTGTTTATCTCTAATAATTAGTAATTGCGCCAAACAAGTTTCAGTAAGAGGCTAAAAATCTCATTTTGGAGTCTCACACTCTTATTTTTTTCCCACTCGCCTGCAATTAGAAAGGTTTTAAAATTAAGACATGTACTATGAATTAACTATACAGCCTCTCCCCAGGGTACTATGGGGTTATGTATCGATAAACCTATTGCAAGGCGAAAATGCATACAGTATACCTAACCTAACAAACATCGTTGCCTAGGCTACCTTAAACATGCTTAGAACACTTACTAGCCTACAGTTGGGTAAAATCATTAACATAAAGCTTATTTTACAATAAAGTGTTGAATATCTTACGAAATTTATTGAATAATGTACTGAAAGTGAAAAACATTTACCCATCATAAAGTCGAAATATTGTAACACAGACCACCTGGGGAGTGTCTGTATATTGAAACGGTAGGTCCCTCTATTTTCCATACAGAACAGGGTGATGGTGAGCTTGAAGGCTCAGTGCAGCAGGCAGGGGACAGTGTGGGTGGGATGCCAGCCTATGGCATGGCACACACATGCACTCTAATACCGAGAGACTCTAGTTTAGAGACACAAATTCACCCAAAAGTGAGGGAGGAAACAGGAGTTCCCAGAGAATACCCTAGCAAACCCAGGGAGGCCATGTTGACACCACAAACACAGAGCCTGGGGGTGTGAGGCCACCCACTGAAACACCGTGCCGCTCTGCTGAAACAGTAAAGAGCTCAGTTTCCTGGTGTGCAAAAACACTTGGCTTTCATAAAAACAAAAAATCGATTGCTGCAATTACCTCGAAACACATAGATGTAATATAAAGCAACTGCAGCAAACTTTTGATGAGAAAATAGCAGTGCTTAAATTTATGATGAGGATTTAAAACAAGCAGTAAAGGGATTACATTGTTTGTGGTATTATTGTTTGATGCAGCAGTACTTTCTCGTCAACAATGCAATTTATGTTTTTTTATATTTGTCTGCATTTTGGAAATTTCTTGTTTGAACATAGGTATGGTTAAGGGTTACGATCATGGTTGGGGTTATGTTTTTCTGCGTTCGTGGAAGTCTGAAAGTTTGCAGGCAACATATTCCGAAGTACAGCGTTGCGAAATGGTTGTTTTGGAGGAAAGTGTCTATCAAAAAAATAGAGAAAATAAATGTAAAATGTAAATATTTTTTTAAAATTGCCGGTGAATTTTGTAGCTAATAATCTGTTTTATAGTTAATAATCTGTTTTTTATAATTGAAAACATGATACATGATAACCACAGCCACTTAGGGGACATGGGAATCAGTGTTGGATGAGAAAATTAGGTAGGTTTGGTAAGAACAAAAAATCTAGGTAAAATAAGGAAGGAAAATGAAAGATATGTAAAACTAAGGGGAGGTATTGTTCAAATTCAAACATCCTTTTAGGAGGTAATAATTGCCATTGTGGAGACACAGCACCTCACATTGAAATGATCAAACAACAGAATAGATGTGAGAGAGAATTCAAGGGAGAGAGTGAGTCATATTCTTAGTCTCTTCTTAAAATCAGTTCCCCTCCACCAAAACAACGCCACCTCTCTTCCTTTCTTATTCTATTGCACTCATTACTGGAAGACACGCTCCTTCAGCTTGCTGACAGACCTTTCAGTAAATAGATGAGCCAATATAACTGATTTTCCTAATCATTCCTCTTAACAGACATCCAAGAAAAATAAAACGAAGGCGTGGAGGTTCTGAGGCTTTTATTCTCAACACAGCACAAGAATCACTTGAATATTTGGCATTATCGAGATGTGATGTCCCTCAGCAAAAAGAAGTGTTGTATATTCAGTTTGAAAATGAATTTGACAGGAGTGTGACAGAAGAAAGAAAGGGGTATGTGGGTCTCCCTGGAAGATGTGTTTTCTTTGCAAGTTTCCGAATTGCGTCACCAAGAGTGATACACGCCACATCAAACGATCATTTGAACGTAGCGTGCTGCAACATCGAGAGGGAGTACCTTCTTTCACCTCCACCCTCGGATTCCCACCCCCAGGAAGATATATACAAATCATAACTTAGAAAGGCAAAGACACGCAGGACGTGACAGCGACAAGTTCGGAAGGTAAAAAAAGAAGAACAGGCAATTCACGTAAAATAAAGAGAAAAACTGAAGAATTCACCAGCAAACATGCTGGCATTGATAACCTTGCTGGGAACTATATTGTTTATAAATGGTAAGAGATATTAATATTTTTTTTACTTTTCAACACGGTTGTGATTTCATCATGCCCATGAATACTATAATTGCAACACAAATATTTTTCCCAGAGAATTACAATTCTTTTTTTGTTTGTTTTTATGGGTGGATAATTTAAGAGAAAAGGGTGTGTGATTGGAGTATAATTGAAAGTTGAACAGTTATCTTTGGTTAATAACTGGGTTTAATAATTGCTACATTCCTGGCTACTGTCTTGCGAATGCTGTGATGCAGAGTTTAACACATGCATGCATTTTTTTGTGTGTGTTGACCAGTCATCTGGAGTGAGGGGACGGAGGTTTTGGTTGCAAACGGGTCTTTGGCAGTCTTGCCCTGTGTCGTCAGCTCTTCAGTTCAAACACCCTTGGCCGTGCAGTGGGTGAGGGCCAACATAGCGCAGAGACCCGACCTTGGCTCGCCCAACAGCATGTAAGTCAACTCTGATGTTCAGACAAAAACTTGAGTGTGCGCCATCCTTCCCATGTCGGCCGCCGGGGGAGAAATGCTGAATTGGCTGTCAACTCTGTGCTTCTGCAGGGCACCAAGCACCGTGTGGAGGATGGATGCCAGCGGAATGGAATTCCGGGGAATGGGAGTCGGCCAGAGGTCTGGGTGCCCCCACACTCAATTTGGCAAGGGGGAGTTCAGCCTCCAGATAGAGGAAGTAAAGAATGAGGATGCAGGAACCTATATCTGCACAGTCATGACAAAAGCTGTAACCATCCAAAAACAAATCACTCTGCGGGTGATTCAAGGTGGGAAGAATGAAACATCCTCAAAATAAGCAATTAAGAAACGTGGAGAGTATTGTATGTTTTAAGACTCACCATTATTCTATATGATGATTCTGTTCCTGTCTTTCCTACAGTGTCCTTCTCTTCATATCAGCCACTCGAAGGCAGTAATGTGAAAATTGCTTGCAATATCTTCCCTTCTCCATTCCGAGCAACAGTGACCTGGAAGTTCAATGGCAGCCCTTTTACACCTAAAAGTCCATACCAAATGTGGACAGGTGCCAAGAAAGAGATCAACCTTACGAGGGTTTCCCAGAAGTATATGGGAAATTGGACTTGTATTGTCCAGTACAAAGGACAGGAGGGAAAGGCAACTCAATCCCTTACTGTGATGGGTGAGGATTTATGACCTCATTGTTGATTGGCAATAGTCATTCTATGTACCGATGGATGTGACTAAATAAAAATTTAAGTCACCGTATGAGTCTCATTGCGACGCTTTCTTCCAGGTATCACCAGTCCTGCAAGTGACCTGACTGTCGTCTATACTGAATTGGGCTCTTCTGTGCTGTTGCCCTGTGTTTATTCAACTAGCCTGACCCCAGAGAACCCAAGTTGGACGAGAGTGTCTGACACTGTAGGCCGTTTGAAGCCCCTTCCTCCCTCATTCCACATCTCTCCAGTCTCGTCCAAGACACCCTGGAACAGATCGGCATGGATCGAGAGGGTGGAGAAGGGGGATGAGGGGATCTACAAGTGTTTGGGTTCGGTGGAGAGGAAAAGGATGGAGAGACAGCTGTGGGTGGTGACAGCCCAAGGTGAGCCATGTTTTGAGTCGTCTTCAGCTAAACGTCTAATGGTGGAATCTAAGTCAACCCAAGGGTCCTGAAAACTAGAAAGGAACTAAGTTAACTTAAGGGACATCACCCTGACCTTGAAATTACCTGTTGATTGTAAATTATTCTCTTTTTTCATTTGGTTGTGAAAAGCTTTAATAAATGCATGGTGTGATTTGTTTTCAGTCTTAAAAACAAGTGGGACAGAAAATGGCGGCTCGATGCTGACCTGCCATGTCAGCAACACGACAGGCATCACTAAGTATGAGTGGGTAGAGGTGACGGACGACACCAACAACATCCAAAAAATGACACCTTTTCACTGGGAAAAGACTTTGAAGATTGAAGAAATGACAGTGAATTCCAGATATTTATGTCGATATTTTGGGGAGAAAGGAATCCTGGGAAATGCAACATACCATGTATCTTTTATGAGTAAGTCTGGTTTTGCGGTGTATTTTATTAAATATGACATTGATTGGTTATTGTTGTGATGATAATTAATATCATGTTGGATATCACTTGATAAAGTTCATAAGGCTTCTTCTCCTGATGTGCTTTTAGGTGCTTTGAAGCAGACGCAGCAATCAGGACCTCTGAGTGCTGGCATGATAGCGTTCCTTGTCATGCTTCTCTTGATGTTGCTGCTAGTTGTAATACAGTTGTACAAAAATCATCGAAGGGTAAGTCCTGCACTCCATCCTACTTCTGCTAACTTCCTGATACCACCAGTACCATCCGTAAGGATGCGTCACCTCCACCGCATTTGCTTAGCTAGCATACTCAGAGCGCTAATCACTCTAGCTAACCAGTAAACTTTCCCAGAGTGAAACCCACCATTTGTGCTTTTCTCCATAGCGGAAGATGATCCTTCCTTATCCTGCCCTTGAAACCATCGTTCACTCCTTTTACAATGCCCAAGAATGCAGCGAGCGGAATAGAGCAGATACCAAAGGGCAGAATGACCAAAATGCTCTGTAGATCATGTCAAAAATGACCATTTTATCTCCTGGACACAAATCAACCTTCCAGTCTAATGATACACAGAATGTGTTTAGAAAGGATTGGGTTCGATTTATCCAGCTCACCGTTTTGTAATGATGTAATACCACTATCACAGTGGCTGTCAGTATTCATCGCTGAGCATTTTATGTAAGCTATTTTGTAAAAAAGAAATGTTAATGCAGGCATATGTAGCAAAATTTCTCTTTTATAAGTATTTGAATTATTTTTTTATGTATGTTTTACATATAATTAATTTTAATAAACTGATATATTTTTGTCAACTTGTTTTTTTGCATCCTCGTATTTAAACCAACATTTGAAATGACATGAAAAAGGCTTCACTGCTTTTTGCAAATTAAATTGATTTAATAACCAGATTTACATATAAATTACAAGGAATACATAATTTATTTACATGCCTATTAAATGTCACCCTCATTTATACAAAATAAGTTTATATACATTCTTTACCCCAGTGAAGCCTGCATGGGGGAGGAAGGGCGCCTCCGGCGCATGGCTCAGAACATGGTGCCTTAGGCGACTGCCTGTGTCGCATAATGAGTTGATTGACTTTTCTTTAAACAGACAGGGCAAATGACGCACAGGTCCTTAATTAAAAATACAGTGAAGGATGTAAAACCCTTATATATAGAAATTACCTATCTATCATTAGCATTCATAATTTGAATGGCAATGATTTTAAAAAACAGTGACATCCCAATCTTCGTGGGACACCAGTCATGAGTCATTCCTCAGCAGGCATCTCTTACAACACTGGATCTCCTCCCTCCACCCCACCCAGAAAATGAGCTTGTTCACAGTGCAATTACAGTCAAAACCTGACTTGCAAGTCGAACCCGCTGTCGTTACTGCATTGTGGCAACCTCTTCCCCTTTCACTCCAGTTCTACAACTCTCCAAACTCCTGTTCTTCTTGTCCCTTTGTTCCCCGGAAATCTATATTGGGTAGTACTGCAATTCCAGGTCTGCTTCCATCGCCCTCAGGGTCTAGACGAACCATGACCTCGTCGTCGTCAAAGCACCAACCTGTCCAATCAACACTTGCACCTTGGTCGGAAAAGCTAAGAAGAAGAAAAATTGCATTTCAACATCAAAACACCATTAAATTATCATGTTAAATAAACAGCAAAAAGGAAATATTTTACACAGTTCATGCAACCTTCAAAAATGTCTCATCTGTGCCCAGAATACTTCGATTGCCTCATCCAATCACTGCTCTGCTTGGTTTTCTTGTGCTATCATGGTTATGATCTATCTATACTGCATGCTCTTGTACAATTGCACTTGTAGGTATGTAACCCTATCTATCTTTTGAATAGCCCTCCTACAGAGTTCCTGTATTGTATAGCTCTAGCTCTGAAGCTATGTTGCACTTCGTGCTCGTTGTTACTTGTTACAGCCTAGCTACAACTTACACCCACTTTGCTCCTAGACAGCTTAATGATTGTATTGTACTATCTGCCTGTCTTGTACTAAATAAATTAAGTACCTGCTAAATAAATAAACAAATAAACAAGTAGATAGATAGATAGATAGATAGATAGATAGATAGATAGATAGATAGATAGATCTGAAACTGCAGGTAAAATTAAATCACCCGCAATTGTATTCATTATTATATTTCTGCTTATCTTCCAATTCTTTGTTCACATCTTGCCATTTGTGCTGCCCTTCATTCTCCTGATCTCCAAAAATGTCCAGGTTGTCTTCTCTTTCTCTTTCCTCCTCACTGAAAGAGATGGATGGAGAGATTGAGCGTGAAGGAGAAGGAGAGATATCCCACACTTTTTCAGACTTTCCCAATCTTCTTTCTTTTCCTCGTTCTCTCTCTCTGGCTCGTGCTAAGAGGTTCTCCAGAGAGGTTCCATACATCTTGGCTTGAGAAAAGAGTGGGAAACTGCTCTCCGACAAGCTTGGCCTCAAACCAAGGGTCTGCCCTTCCTGAAGATCCATGTCTGGGACTGAACCTCTTCTCAGTCTGGGCTGTTTTTGAGTGTTTAGTCCTGTCCTCTTGCATGGTAGCTCTGCTGTCAAAAAGGCCTGTCCCTTTGCAGGTTCACTTGAAGTGACTGTGCTCCACAGCATTCCTTGGTTCTTTCTTACGGACGCCAAGCTGATTACAACTTGAGGATTAGACCTTTGGCCATTCCTTAGTTTTTGGTTGCAGTCAGAGTCTGAGGAATTGGCACTAGATGCCAATACATCTGTGTCATTGTCTAAATATCCGTTTTTATCAGTCTGAGGCGAGAAGTTATGCGGAGAGCCCATCGGTCGCCTCTTTCTTAAGCGGGGGGAATTGAGTTTACGTGAAAACCCCATTGTGTCTGTTGCCATATCATGCTCTGGTACACTGACTGTCAAATCCATTCTGGATGCCTTGTAAGGATCTTCACTCTCAAAATTTTTGACTTGCATTTCTTTCGATTCTGATTGTGTGGACGACATATCCACATCTGACCCTACATCAAACAATGTCAATGTGTTGACATTAGAATGAATCTCACTGGAATCCCTGTGACTAAAGGATGAATGTGAAGATTCTGAATGGCGTCCTACAACCCTTCTCTCTGGTGAACCCATTAAAATAATTTCACTCGATTCCACCTGGTTGCAATCTCTGTTCTTGTCTCCCTCCCCTTCTGTCAGTGCCATATTGCTCACGCTGTGTCGGCTGTTTATGATTTTACTTGTAACAGATTCATACACCGATGTATGAAAAGGCTGACTGCCTATCAACTGAAGACCCCAGGCTTGCTGCTGCCTCTGGAAGATACTCCCTTCTTCTGTCTCTGGCAATGGTAATGCTCTGTTTTGCGGTTGACCATGTCTCCTTTCTTCTTGGTCAGAAAGCAGAGTATGTTCAACTCCTGTCAAGTTCAACTCCTTATCTTGAACTTCCCTTACAGTGTCAGAGGGTTCTGCTCTATTAGGGTTGACTTTTGTCTCCATCCGTATATCTGTCAGGAGGAAACCCCCAAATCTCTGAGAGGTTTCCCTCTCCCTCATGGCTGCCAGAGACTCCTGGAATAAGAAGAGAGATTGAACATGAAGGGAATCGTGAACAACAGTAATGCTTTTAGCTGTTCGAGCATGTTACCTGTGCAGCCAGGATGCTTTTGACCCACTCAGATCGGCTGTCTGTGCTGGGTGCCGTTATAGTATAGACGTTCACAGCACAGAATAGCTCCCCAACCTCTACTAGCACAAAGGAGACTAAGAAAGACCAAGAGGTAGGAGAGAGCATGTTCATTATTTTTCAGACATAGTTATAGCATGGTGTTAAAAGCAATAAAATGTTAAAGGTGATGATTTCCTAACCAAAAACCTCATACCTGTTAATGGCATTTGCTTTAGCAAAACAGAGAGAGAAACATAGAGAGAAAACTTCAGCTCATGACCACTTCCTATAAAATAACCTACTTCTCATTTGGGTGCTGGTCTATATGGCACCTGATAGGCTCTCTACACAGGCTCTTTGCAGATTAAATGCAGTAGAAATTCAACAGAAATACTACGACCAGCAGTAATGTTTGTGTTCCCTTGTTAAGACCACACCCTCACTAAAAATCATTCATGTATTACACTCATGTGTCATGTTTAACGACAATATTTGAGTGGGATTCCAACACTCACCATCATCTTTAAGGGGAGCACAGACAATTCTATCCAGAGCCAGTGGGGGGCACACTACTTTTAACTTCTCTGACTTCTTCAGTGCCTTTGTCAACAAAAGCACATCCGAGAAGAGCAGAACAACCATCGGCTGCATATGAAAGTTTTGTAAAGTGAACACAGAAGGTGAAAGAACAGAAACAGAAAAATCAATTTCTATGTGAATAAATTATGGCTGTGAATCAATTATAAAAAAATAACTAATCTTACAGTTTTCTGTGATTAATTGCAATGAATTGCACCTGACTTTAAAACTTACAATAATAAAAATGTACATATTGAATCACTAAATGAATGTAGAATTTACACAAAGGGGAGTGTATGGGTCATTCTCACAAACTCATTACTTGTAACAAATCAATTTTCTCTGAATTTTAAAATGAGTTTGAAGACAGACTCAAATCATAAAACTTTATTAGTTAAACTGTCGATTTTGCCTCTGAGGTACTCAATCAGTTTAGTTATATTACCATTTATTCCTGTAATAAGCAAACATATTTAAAGAAATCCAGAGCAACAGAGATAAAATACTAACCAAAAAATTATGCATCTTCTCATGAAATTGGGTTTCATTCAATAAAGCTGAAACATTAAAAAACAAAAATCTAGTTTTTTGTTCTTTGGCTACCTAAAATGTTTACAAAAATCATCTGATGAAAGCAACAGATAAAATCATTTTAATATAATTAAATGCACAGGGTAATATAAATTGCGCTGCACAAAAAAACACAAATACTGTATTTCATTGAAACATTAAAAAAATTCTCAAGTACGTGAGAATGACCCATATTTTAACCACTGAAAGTACACTTAATAACATGAAAGATCTCAAGATTTTAAGGCATAAGTCACTAATAAAATTAAACAAACACTGCTAATTACAATACATCCTATGTATGCCTCTGTCCGGCAATTTTTTAAAACAAAATAAATCAGGTGGCATCAGCTTCCCTGTGAGACGCTAACTGATTGTTTTGATTTTAATAGTGGGAGTCTGTGCAAAGTCATAACCTAAACTCTCACGATGTTTACAACCAGGAAAGTATTTTATAGGTCTCTATTAAAATCTATACTAATACTATTCTCCCATTTGGGGAAGAACATAATGCATGCGTCAGCTTGGTCAAACAAATGATAATAACACTTTATGAGTTATAAATTTGCACAATGCTTTAATGTGATACATTTCCCAGCAATAATATAAATCTATGTAGTCACTGATCATGGTTGACATGCTGAAAACTTAATTCAGAGAACTGACCATTGAGTAATACAGCAGTGAATCTATTAATATATCATTGTATTTCATTTCATCGGAAAGGGTCCTGGTCTGCCATCGGGTCAATACTTCATTTGAAAACAACCAACCTTGCTTTCCCTCCTTGCTTTGACCCTGAGGGTCTCCTCCAACAGCAATTTACGTATATCCTTCATGCCGGCACCTCTGATGGGGCTTGTCAGATCAAAATGGCAGAGTTCTCGAACAAACTGTCCAAGATATTGACATGAACCAATCACTCAGCCCATTCATGTAGGCAATTCATATATTCCATTGTCCTCTCTGGCCTCTGGAGGGCACCATGCCTGTTTTCTCACCTTCTCGATTTCCTCAGTTACGCCCTCTGGCACATCGTATCCTTCCAGCCTTGAGGCAGACTGAGAAAGGGCAAGTTCCTCATCTTTCAGCCTTAGGTGGTCATTGATGCTATCCAGAAACCCATTTATACTGCTCAACTGATGCAGAACAATTCACAGATGGAGAGATACAGGGACAGATGGTCATGTGTTAAAATGAGATCTTGTACCGTTGTCTCACATATCCCCCAACATTTTTACTGTCCTATAAACTAGAAAACCCTACAGCATTTAAAGATGTCCGGTACCACACAAAAGTCTTAGCCCTTCAAATAAATGTTTACATACTTTGACATTAGAACATGTGTAAATGAACAGTAGCACAATAAAGCCAAACATACTTTCTTCTGTTCTTCGAAACTGTTCTTTACTGGTATATCTTGTTGGATGGTTAGAAGAATACTGGCTAGTTGGGTACTGCAAATTCTGGCATGACTTTAGGAGAGGTTTAGACAGCACTATATGCTTTCCTCTTAAATATATGGAGTCCTCCTTAATTCCTCAGTCCAGGCCAACTACTTATAATGGACTAGTATAAAGCAGTATTGTTCAGTTATAGAGAAGCTTTCATTATAAGGGACTAATAGTGTAATAGGGTGCAAAAATGTGGACTGTCTGGTGGTCCCCAAGGACTGGATTGGGAAACACTGAAATAGGGTGTCCGTGCAGTCCAGCTGACTGGGTATCTCACCATCTTCCGCAATGCATACTGCGTCTGGGGGTCCTGGGTACATTTCAGTACCTCTCTCAGCAGCAGTGGGTACTTGGTGATTCTCTGGTGGGGCTTGGCTTGCATGTCCCCAAGCCGCATTCGCCCACAGCCAGGGCAGTTCTCCACCCACTGAGGGAGCATTAGTGAGCAACCGTTAGCACAGAGCCCAAGACAAACCAGCACCCATAAGTTAGTAAGCAAGGCTGTAAAAGGCTGCAGCACCAGGAGTTGAACCAGACTACAGGCATGGGCTTAAAAGGCTACAAGACCCAGGAAAATGTATCTTACATTGTTATAAGCAAAAGAACACTTTGGTTTTGTCACGTAGACATGTGGAAAATAATATTTATAGTAACAACCACAGCATTTGTATAGCTATGACTGTGAAATATTATTTTCCATCTTGACTATATGTTACTGCAAGTGATGACATATGCAGAGTGTCTCTGAATGTCACTGAACACACCTTGATGTAAGCATGAAAGAGGGGGTTGTCCATCTGTCTCCGTGCAAACTCCATGATGTTCTCCTCATCCCGGCAGTAGCGCAGGTATGAGGAAAAGCGCTGGCTGAACTGGCAAAAGCAGGAAGATGGTAGAGAGGCACATGCATGAGATGAGCGCTACATATTTACAGGGAAAAAAAACGAAAGCCAAAAAACTAATGTCAACATAACTGTTGACTGCTGGCTAGGACATGCTCCCCCCCCCCTCCAACCTGGGCCAGTTAGAGGACAGATGGATGGATGGATGGCTGAATGGATGGATGGATACACGCAGATTGATCTGCAGAAAACTGACACTCACCAAGCCCAGAAAGTATATCAAACCTAGGACGTGGGTCAATGAATTAACTAGGTGGGTGACTAAATTTCCCCATCAGAGCAGGTGCTTTAATGGATGTAATTGGTCCCACCCCCAGTACCTGTAGGAAGCCCTCCTCCAGCATGAGTGGTTTGAAGGGACCCCCAGTATGCCGGGCTTCCAGCAGCATGGGGAGCATCACCTCCTCCCAGAAGCATCGATGAGCATCCAAAACAGAGGGCAGGTTAGAGAACAGGTACTCAAGAGTCATCTGGGGAAAAAAATGAACTGTTGGAAAGGTGTAGACCGAGGTGTACTTTCCTAAATTGGTAAAAATCTGCACGCAGCGAGAAATAGATGCAGGCAGAAAAAGTGTGAAATGCGTAGGTCAGTGTAGAAGTAGCCAGGGAGCAGAGGCAGAACAACATCGGCAGGAAAGCCCTTAGTGTACATGAGAAGCAGGTCTGTGCTCTCTATTCACCAAATATGGCACTCTAATGGAGAGAAAGCACCAGCTTCCTTTTACTCAGAATCGGGTGTTTACATCGATGGCTTTGTGTTTGTTTGAAGCCCCTTTTTAAAAGGATCAAAGGGAGACAAAACACCTCAGGACTGGAGCAGGCACACTGCATGTCCATGAAGCTGAGGGTCCCAGGCAGTGGTAGCATTAACCCCAGTTCATTAACCTCAGATGGAAAACAGTCAGAGTCCAGTTAATCTCAGAACTTTTCTCTGCTGTGGGGAATGCAAAATGTGTCAGAGTTGCTCCCTCCTACGCATGGTCTAGTTTCCACTTCTTCAGCAGATTCTCACCGTCAAGTTGAGGATGAATGGACTGACAGTGGGTCAGAGGAAGCATGAAAGAGAGACACAAAGCTGTGCAGAGAGACCTCCTAGCAAAACCCTCGACGGGAATCACCCCGAAGGTAACAGGGACATCGATAGGGCAGAAAACACAAAACACCTAAAGTGATGTTGCCTATAAAATATATTAAGGCTTTCCAGCAAGTCCATTTGGAGGATGCTCATGTGAGGAATGTGACAGGTGTTTCATAAGCATGGCAGGACTGGAAATAACTGGAGAAGGATGACGGGCAGTGAACTGACCTCTTGCAAAAAGCCGTTCCTGTGCAGATGGGTGAGAGCGCCCATGACAATCTGATGGAAAGGATGCGATAAGTCAGTCAGAGAATGATTCATCTTCCGGCGCACGTGACCCTCTGCGTTACCCCATTGCACATTCAGGGGGGCCGAGGGGGGTAGCACACAGGAACAGCTTCTGTATGGCGCTTCTTTAAGAAGGGTCCCACCACCTCAAATGACTGCGACATTGTAATGGGGCACGCGGCCCATGGCAATGATGGATGCAAACCAGCTCCTTTGTGGTCACACGGCGAGATAATTTGATTTACTTGAATGGGCCTTAAAAATGACTCACGTCTGTGACAACAGTCAGCTTGGAGATGTAGTTCAGCTCGGTGTACAGAAGCTCCCAGAGGGCTTCTTGCTGGTGCCTTGCTGACTTATCCATTGCCTGAATGAGGAAATCAGCCATTTCTTAACACATTCATCTCAAATATGTATTACCTATCATGAATGAGAAGCTATCTGCATCCAAACAATGCCTGTCACTCAGAATCTTTTGATTCTAAATGATGGTGTTGAGCAATGTACATTTCATAAGGACTGTATCATAGTGCACTGTATAATGATTCCATCACCATAACCACTTATCCAGTACTTGGCTGCAATAGGCCCCAAGCCCCAGGGACTGGACAGGGGGCATCCTGCACAGGATAGCCATCCATCACAGGGCACACTCTTAGTCGCATCAGAGACACCTGATCAGAAATGTCACACATGCAGAACCACGGGTGGGAACTGAAGACCCAGAATGTATCTGTGAGGCCAGCCTCATTGTGTAATAATAATCAAATATATTAAATATAAAAAATATTGGTATCACTTTACAATAAAACTACCCTTATAAAGGGTTAATGAATGGTTTAAGATGAAGATATTAAGCTGTAACACCTTTAGACAATTATGAGCAAGTTGTAGCAGAGTTTTCTTTTTTTTAATGAGTTGCTATCATTTATAAGTGGTAAAAGGGAGCCTTATTGTAAAATGGTATTAAATATACTAATCAATACTGAAACAATAATAATGTGACCTGGTGTGACTGGACAATGTTGGTCCAGTTGTCCTCCAGTGGAACGCCGGCCACATCAGTCTGGTTATCAGGAACTGGCAGCGGGAAAGACTCCAGAGTCGATTTAAAGGTGTCCTGATGGACAAAGTGCATGTTAGATCAAGTAGTCAAGACACGTTGTCATTTACCTCTTATTTAATTAGGCGCAATTTTACCTAATCTGGATTAAATTTAATTGACTAAATGCTTCAGAACTTATTCAACAAACTTCAGTCCATCATGGACAATGCAATCATCCGCTCCACAGTGTGGTGGCTGATCAGAGAAGCACTTTTAGCTACAGGTTGACTAGCAGGTTGACTAGCATTAAGTGCTCCACTGAACGCCACAGAAGATCTTTCCTACCTACAGCCATCAGACTCTATAACTCCTCACACTGATCTCACACCCAGCCTGACGCTAAACATAAAATCCATCCCGCCGCACACCATACTTTAGCCTGTGCAATAAACCTGCTGCTACTCGGATGTGCAATGTTCATCTGGTAATTTACCTGTATTTCTACAATTAGCAGTATTTATTTTATTTATATATATCGTATTTCTGTTTCTCTTATGTATATATCATGGTGTGTATAGCGCAGAGTCTCTCTTTTATAAATTTATTTCAGTTCTTATACTTATATCTGATATTTTTCATTGTTCTTGTCTTGTGTTTCTGTGTGACTATCTAGTAGTAACATGAACAATTTCCTCCGGGATCAATAAAGTTTTTCTGATTCTGATTCTGATTATTCAACTGTGAATATTATTATTAATTGCTATTAACAGGCTGTAATGGGAGAGGAGGGGAGGGAAGGCGAGGGGAGGGGACAGGTGTGTGGAAACAGACATTACTATATACAGTATTACTTACTCATAAGACTACAAAATTACAACAATGCAGAAAGTTTCTTGTTATAAGTGAATTCCAATAGGACACCAATGTTTGCATAGCATCAGAAAGGATGAGTCTGAGCTGTAAAGAATTTCCACATACTATTTAATCCACAATAAATCAAAGTTGGGGGCTGTAAGTGATCATGTTATAGGGCAGAGAGAAAAATCATGACCCATATGGAGTACTGGGTTTGCGGGTTTGAATTGATTGGGTTCATTGCTTGAAAATAAATTCATCCCACCTGATCTTTGCAAATAAATATCAGCTACTATGTGAATAGTGATTAGTTAATCATTCTAATCTGCGAATGTCCATCACATTCTAATCTGCGACACTTTCATGAAAATGTTTCTGAAGGGCCATTAAGTACTGAGCTCAGAACTTGTGGGGAAAACTGAAAATTCTGATGTAGATTTTTAAAAATTACATTCAGGATTCCCAAAGCAGGGACTGCAAGCAGCATTAGTCTGTTAAGCAAGTGAATAATTCATGGATTACCCCAAGGGTTGGAGCTCTGTCAGAAAGGCCCTGGTTAAAGAGGACCTGCCTGAGTGCAGGCCGATGTTTGACGTTCGCCTTTCTCACTGTCACAAAATCGTAAATCATTGGCTTTTGCATTTTCTGAAATGAAGCATAAAATTATCAACACTTTGCACTGAAGCAAATAACTAAAATAAACATGATAATAAAAAACCAATGTGCCCATGGTGATAACAACAGTCACACAGTGTTAAGATAAAGTACTCTGTAGTCATTTAACAAAGACAAAAATCAGCTTACAGGTGTGCATGCCATTTGTGTGCTATAAGATCGCTACAAGGCACCCAGTCCTCGAGGAGACCTTATGGTCCACATTTTTGCTCCTTCCCAGCTCCCAGTAGGATAAAAATGTGGACTGCCTGAGGAATCCTCCTTTGTTTTTTCTGTTTGTGTGATTGCTGGTGGAGGTCAGCAGGAACTGCAGTCAGATAAAGTACCTGATATCCCAGAGTGTTGAACTTGTGTTTGTCTGCTGCACCCTTGTGGTGTTTCTGTGTTGCTGCACTTGAAATTTCGCCCTCAACCTCAGAATCCATTTCCATTGCAGCCTCACTCTGTTTCTCCACCTCCACATCTGTCACCTGCACCCTTGGTCCCAAAGGACTCAGGTTCGTTTCGTCTGGACACTCAACATCACCTTCTCTCATTTTGGCAGAGGGGTTGCTGTCAAAAGAAATGATGTTATTGTGGTTTCTGTAAGTGACTGCTTTAATACACATTAACACACAATAAGAGAGAAGTAACATGTTAGACAATAAGAAAAAACAACAAGAGAAAAGTAATAACCTTTTCCTAAGAAGAGGTAAGTTAAAACAAAAGGGAATCTTTCTGTGCTGGAGAACATATTCAGCATCCAAAATGGAGTCAAAAACAGCTGCCGATGTTACACCATTAAAGGCACCTTCTGAGTTCAAACATTTTTTTTTCTTTTTTTCCTTTGCCATTCTGTATGAAATTAGTTGCTAAACTTCTAATAAATACATGTGTGAAGTTGTAGGCTTATTTAGGTTACACTTTACTTGAGAGGGCACAGGTGACTTAGTAACTCAGTTACTACTCAATTACAAATCATAAATATATATAGTAACTGCATGAAACACATAAACCATTATGATTAATTAATGATGAACAAACATGGGATTAGTACATAACTGTTTATGGTTAATTAATAAATTAAAGAAGAGTGTACTACTACATTATTGGTCCCTCTCAAGTAAAGTGTTACCCTTATATACATTTAGATTTATCTTATTTAACAGGTGCATTTGTGTAAAGCAGCATACAAGTGAGGCAATAGCACATTACAAACACATCTGTTGTCATGGAGCTGCCAATGAATGCCCAGGATGATGTGTACTGTACGCTGTATGGGAGTAAGAGCTACACCATCCACCAAATCAAGCAAGAACCTAACAAGACAACCATTTAAATTGGCGTGACACTGAGAGCATCGGGGGAACATGGAGTGATGGTGGTTATTAAAGGTGTCCGTGGCACTTATGACCCCTCGACATCAACCCTCACAGGTAGCCAACAGCTAACAGTAAGGGCATTGTGGTTAAATTAAATTGACATCATAGCTGTAGGCAGCTACTTTGTATACAGGAACATACCGGTGATCGTGCTAATTGCCATTTTAGAGAAAATCAATAAACACTCTGCCTTCATGGGCAGTGCATTCAGGCACATTCACACCCACAAGTTCTCGACAGGAGGGCTTAATCCCGGTACAGCATTACCCAGTAAAGCCAGACTAGCTTTAGCCTGACATCTGATATGGAAATATGACAGTGTTTAAGTAATGTATGACTAAAATAATGTGTAAATATACTGTAAGAATCTGCACCCTCAAGATAGCAACCTAATCCACAGCTCCATTAATCCACAGGACATAGCCTTTCCCAATCATTGTCCTTGTTATACTGGTACAGAGCGTAATTGCCTCTAAATTCACACTGTTGATCCTTATCCTGTCTCAAACACCTTAGAATTAATTAAACAGACACTGTTTTCAATAATATCTGAAATTTATTAACTATTGTCAGCTATTATGTCTCGGAAAAGGCAAGTTACCTGTCTTGTGCTGGCTCCATCCTGTTTTTATGAGTCCTAGAGCATTTTATGTTAGAGCAGTCTCCTAGTTTCTCCCTCCTACTTATAAACCTGCCCAGCTGCAACCAGCAGAACAAGAAAGGCAAGATTCTTACCACACTAACTGCTAAACTCTGTTCACTCTCATCATTTTGTTTCCCGCTGAGTCTCTAAGGAAATACGCCACACACCTTTTTGCATTTCACGCTGCTTGTCAGCTCCTCTCATTTGTCTGGTGCCTCCCTTTAATTGAATAACTATACGTCAGAGATGGGGATGGTTGACTATGGAATTAAAAATAGAGAATTCAGGGGCAATGAGATTTATGGTAATTATGAAAAGTAAAAACAAGCTTGTATAACATCAAGACAATACATTCATCCATATACAAAATGCTTATCCTGATTGGGGGACTATGTGAGGTTGCAGAGGTGCTGCTAGAGATTTTGGACCCCCCACAGAGACTAATCCCATAATGTGCTTTTTTTAAGGCCCCTGTCACTCAGGGGCCCTAGAGTCATCCTACCCCCCCCCTTTCCAGCACCCCTGTGAAGCAGCATAGGGAACACAGCTTGAGTACAACCTGTATGGGGTGACAGTCCATCACAAGGCATATAAACACCCACATGCACCATCATACATTATGGGGCATTCACAGACACCAATAGCCAAACAGAATGTCTTTGGATTGTGACAGGGAGCAACAAGGTACACAGATATTCTAAGAGGAAAAGAGAGTATAATATCAAGACTATATATATTTATTCATCCATCCATCCATCCATCCATCCATCTCCTACCTGGAGGAAATACATGTGACCTGCGGAGAATATGTAAATTGTCTTTATGTACTGAAAGCAAATGTTTAGTTTCTCACTTTTTTGCAATTCTATTTTATTGTAAATATGTCTTCTGAATTTTCCAAGCACTCTGCCTATGAGTTTTAGTGAAAAATCAACCCAAATGCTTACCCTGTTCAGGAAAAATGAAAGAAAAACTTGTTTTACCTACTTTGGTAACATTATTTTATCTAGATTTAAATGTTTTGTTTGGAGTTGTTAGATTTAGGAGTTGTTTTAAAGTTGTCTATCAGTGAAACTGTATATAATTTATACAACACCCAATTCAAACCATGTTAGTTCATAATTGAGGAAATAATGCAAAATCAAAAGTCTGCCTCTGTACAAATCTGTTTATGACAGAGATAACAAGTAATAATCACGGCACAGATTACAAAACAAAATGGTGGTAGGAAACGAGGCTGGGAGATGGCTAAGAGTCAAAAGCCGACCCAGAGGAATGCGGAAAGGCAACATGCCGATCGATCAAATGCACACACATGCACACACACAATCACACTGAGTAATGATGCATGCATTCACATTCAAATTAACATTTGAAAGAGTGTGCTATCACCTCAATAAAACACTCACACTGCTTTTGTTTATAAAGACATATATTCTCATGACATGACATATTCATAAAAAATGTATAGAAATTCAATGCAGAAAAGAACTAGACCATGGAAGAAATCAAATGAACCAATTGAAGTTTAAAATTGATTATACATCGCTAATATAGGGTTTCTGCTCTGGAAATTGAAGAATCACCATGGTTTAAATTGCTTAAAATAGCTTTGGTAAAAATGTAGATAATGCTTTTTAAAGTTTGTGTGTTGCAAAATGTAGATATTGAAAGCATCAAGTGACACATGCAAGGTTTGTACAGAAATGTTGTGGAAATTAACTGTTATGCCCAGAAATTTGAGTTTGAGGGTCTGCTCCTTATAGCAAATATTACAGTAGTTACATTAAAAATGTGAAATTATGAGTTGCTATTACGGTGATTTTCTATGAGGCTGAATCGCTTAATTGGAATGGAGATAAAATGAAAAAATTCTGCATTAGTGTGGTATACATGTCCCCCTGCTGGCATTCACACCCAACATGGTATCAAATTTTCATACATTAATATCACATTATTCAGCCGTAAGAAATATGCTGCAGGGGGCACCAATGTGCCACTTCTCAGGTGCCTCACCGATCACATGTCACCTTGTTATGTTGCATGGGGGGTGGGGGGTTCAAGCAACACAACAGAACTGATATCCAACCAGTTAAACCTTCTCAAGGCCTGGAAAGCGAAATTACTGGCCAACCCCAAACTGGCTGTGTTTTCTGTTCACAAAACATGAGGCTGTGGTGCTTCAAAATTACAGAGATCACCTTGCTGGATGCCACAGAGACAAACACAAGGAGGTACACGTGTGGGGAAGGGGGGGGGAGTCACTAAGGAAGCAGAATTGACAATGGAAAAGCACCAGACATGGCACCCACCCTGCCACATGTAGCAACAGTCCAGCGTGCTTCAGTCCAGTTCTGAGTCTCTGAGTCATGTGAGCTGATATGCCGTCACTGGTCAGGTGACAGCACAGAATCGGGAAGCCTAGGTGAGGTGGCACAAGTGAAGGAAGGACTGGAAAGTAACGTGAGCACCTCAGCCTGGCCCTGATGCCTGGTTTAGAGTTTACAGGGCTTAAAAGTACTGCCGGGTTTCCTCTCTAGGGGCTCACAGCTGGAGGGCCACAGCGCCCCTGGTGTACACCAGGCGAGTTTAGCAAGGCATGACACTTCATAGTTATTCCAACCAACGTGTCTCCCATGTAAGCTGTAAGAAAAAGTTCTGATACATGTATATATCTGTGTGTCTGTGTCCACATTCTTGTATGCGTGTGTGTTTACACACTTACACGCCTCTAAAGGATCTGAAAGTTGGCCTCAATGGCCTCCGCACCCGCCATCAGTCCCATGGCCCTCAGTGTCTCTGTCATCTTCTGGAGCCGTGCCCTGGAGAGGGTGTCCACCTCATCCCCCCTGCCGCTGTCACACCACACTTTCAGCATCTGGAACTGGGCCTCTTTGCAGGTGTGATTATCCCTCTCTGCCCACTCGATGTCCCTCTCAGACACACCCAGGCAGCGGACCAGCTCCTTGAAGCGGCTGGCTGGGACGTGCTGCAGCAGGAAGTAGATGAAGTGGCAGGCTGAAAAGGCAGAGAGGGGACCCCCCCTCATGGTTAGTGTGCTGTCTGCACCAATGCCTGTACACCACACCATTACCACCGGGGGGCACCCAAAACACACATAACTCACTCTTGAATCCACGAGGGATGCAATCAGGAAGCTCTTCCTGCCCACCAGGATCCTTCCGAACTGGGAGCTCGTGTTCGGGCAAGGGGATCAGGGCTGGATGATCTTTCACCATTTTCCCATCTTCATTTACGTAGGACAATAAATTCTGATAATGATAAGTCAGCTCCACATCAATACCATGCTGACAGTGGCAAGCACAGTACATGGCGCATTCATTATCCCTTGGATTGCTGCTACACACGTAACCCATATTACACTGTCTGATACCGATCAACACTCTAATAACATGCTAATATACCTTTATTTCATTTCTATGTTCATCATCATTATTCAAAACATCGCAATTAAGACTCATGATGGATACCTTGGATATTTCGCTGTCAGAAGATACCGGACTGACTACAATCTCTTGGCTGTGACAGGGACGCCTCTTTTGAATAAACATGCAGATCATAATTAAAATGAACACACTCGTGAAGGCTATCACCACCACCACGAACGCCAGCTGCCAGTCTGATGGGGAGAGAGAGAGAGACAAAATGTGAACAGTAGTTAAACGTGCTAACTGTGACATTGTTATATTCCCAGAGATCCATGGGAATACAGAAGAGCTCTCGGCTTTAAGGCACTGACCTGCGCTTTTTCCGCATAGGTGGCTGCATTTTTGGTCACCGTTGCACCTGAAGGAGGGAGTTGTGAGACAAGAAGCTGACAAATATCCAATCCAGCCATGTCCTGCCTCTTTAAGAGAAGTGTGGTCACAAATTGAACTGCACTACAAAACAGGAACACAGACACACTACTCACGTTTTGCATTCTTCGCATATTTTGTTGCTGTTGCGATAAAACTTCTCCTTACAGTCACATTCTCTGTTAGTGGACCCTGAACCTGAAGGGACAAATGAAAGGTTTAATGTTAGGAACCTGAAGGGTGCAGCACATAGATGGCTGTAAGCAGCCTCCTCCCAGTATGGGGCATGAACATGCAACTCACATGAGATGCGTTCCTGCTCGCCATCCCCACAGGAAGTGCATTTCAGACATTGCCAGGTGAGGTTTGAAATAGACTGCTTGAAAAATCCTTCATTGCAGACACATTGCCGGTTTTTTTTGCGTGTGCATGGAGACAGCTCCCTTTCATCTGTGGATGGAAAAGGAGAAGTGAACTGAGCTAACTGCAGTAGCTATGGCTATAACGGACTGAAGATGGGCATTGGCCATCTCATTTTCTGGCTCAGAACTCGGCTGGCTATGAAATTCGGCCATTCTGACATGTCCGTGTAGATTCTTTTGGTCCACTGAGGTTCAACAAAGTTCTTTGCAAAATATATTATTAGTTTATGTCACAGAGGAATAAAGTGCTTTAGTGTAAAGGTCTGCTATTATAAGTGCTATGACACCCATGATGCTTTGCATTACAAACAAAAAGTACAAACTATATTCCACTCTGTATTTTCTGGAATTTTCTAGAAAATGATCAGAAATATTTGACTCTATATCAGCTTTCAGTTCCGCTATTTCTCACATTTCTATTACCTTAAGAAAGGATTGAAAAACACAAGCTAAATTCAAGCAGCTCAACTGTACCTAATGATTCAGTTCTGGCAGAAAAAAAATATTTACACAGTGAAGCAGGCCAGAGACAGTTTATTACCCAATCCATGCTTTCCTGTCACAGGAAATGCTGGTTTCGCAATGTTGTTGGCCAGGAGAACGGCTCAGAGCAGATCATTAGGCATTACTTATTTTTACTTACTGGATTTGCAAGACCTGCATCGAAAGCAGTTTGGAGCATTGTTGCTGTTCTCTATGTAATAATCATTCAGACACGGCTTGCAAATGCTTTTGCGGTTACTGCTTTCACAATCTTGTTCCAGTCTGAAACCTGAAAAACAAAGAAAATAACGGCAACATCAAACGTGAGCGGAGCACTTCCAGCGGACAGGGATAAGGGAGCCCCAGAGGTCCGGTAGCTAACCTCCATGGCATTTGTTACAGCAGTGGCCCTTTGTTGTGCTCCAGTACTCATCCTCTTCACAGTCTTCTTCAGCTAATTTGTCATGTGAAAGCTCCGGCGATGGACGGGCAGGAGCAGCCAGAGTCTGAAACACAAGGGGTTTCTGCTGAAGTGCACAGATAAAGGTGAGGCGAAGGAAAGGACCACATTATGTCAGGAAGAAGGATGACTAGTGGTGGGAGAGAAGAACCCTGGAAAGCTCTTTGTAGGATTTAAGGACCCACAGTGATTTTGTGGTCCACAAAACAGATTACCTAATGGTGTTCAGTGATAAATTTCCTTCCATCCATCCATCCATCCATCCATCCATCTGTCCAACTGCTTATCCTGGACAGAGTCTCTCCCAGGCTACTCCCTGACTCCCTGAGAACCCAGTCCATCACAGGGAAATTACCCTGTGTAAGCGATTACTCAAACACACACAATCATTTCCTATGGTCAGTTTAGAAATGCCACTTAATCCAACTGTATGTCTTTGGACTGCAGAAGGAAAACAAACGTATGTAAACCCTGGGGGTGTGAGGCTACAGTGCTATGACATCACATATGCAACAAACAAGCAATAAACAAAACAAAAAAAGTGTCAAATTCAGAGGGTGGCAAGTAGTACTGTTGCATAACAACAGGGTTTGAATCCCGCTCCCCTTATTTCTGGACTTGCATGCTCTCCATGTATCACACTGGTTATCTCCTGTAAACAAAACATGCAGTTGGGTGAACTGCTGTCTCTACAATTTGTCTCTGTTGTGTGACCTGCAATGGACTAGAATCCTATACAACTCTGCATTGGATAATTGCTTGGAAGAAGGAAGTATCAGTATGGCATAAATCCAATGTAACACCACAAATGTGTAAAAATGTTAACTACATCAAATAATGAAAAGACTATTACACTGAAAATAATATACATATTAAGACCTAGATTAAGATGCACTCTACTGATGCCAAGGGGAAATTCTAGTACAAAAAGAGCATGAACGTAGGCAGTAACGAAACCTGAACATAAGTAGTCAGGTAGGCACCTTGGAGACCCGTCATAGACACAGGTGTAACCGGCAATGTCTTGGCTGTCCACTTATGATCCAATCACCCAAAATGCATTTTAAAACCAAATGTAAATAGGGCCTAAGTGAATCAATTAGTAGTTAGAAGATAGGAATGATCTCAAATTAATAATGGCAACAATGGCTTCTCCACCCTTGTTTATAAATTAAACTGTAATTTATAGATACAGGAGGCTGCATCTGGGCTGTCTAATATTATACCTAACAGGATTACTGTAAATGAGGGGAAAGTTATGACAATTCCAGAAAAATAGAGCATAATTGGACTGGAGGCCCAATTTGATATGCTTTCATGCCCAAAATCTCTAGTGGCATCCCTGCTAGTTAGTACTAACCTACCTGAACGCGATTGGCCAATTATATTTTCAAAAATAAACTCTATGGTGCTGGTTGTCATAGCATTAGCATTTTTCCCATACAAATGAATGAGCGGTCCCCAAAAAGATATGATTACATGACTCTGTGTGTGTGTGTGTCACTGTGTGTCTGTCTGTTTGTGTTTCCCATAAGTCGCTCTATTTTTGTTCTGCACTAGTTCTTGAGTCAACTGCCTCGCTCATAATGGCAAATAATCACATATATTAGATTGCATCTTTTGCTGGTATAGCAATCTGTTAGAGAGTAACTAACTTGAGACACTGCTTACATTACTAATAGTAGGTGGTCTTTTAAAGTTAATAATATACGTTTGTTAGATTATCGCATTCCTAAAATGACGCGCACCTGCTGATTTATGTTTTTTTTTTAAAAACTCACCACCACAATAGTCAGTATAAATATCTTCCTGAACGAACTGTTTTCCTGCTTTCCGTCCATAATCTCACTCGATCTTCATAATCGCCATTAAGATCACGATCCACCCTAAAATGCACAGGACATATACACACACTTTGACACTTCGTTACAAGAAAAAAAGACAAAGCTACACACGTCAGTATATATAGTTACTGCTTTTCAAATTGTACAAACAAATACTGTGTATATTGCAATAATACATTGCGCAAGAGCACACTTTTTGTCCCCTTCAAGCGACATTACGTTTCATTACAATACTAAAATCGCCCGAAGATAGCATTTGACTCAAACCTGGATTTCTTTTCCACAGATTTGTAGATGTTTGATTTTTTCTCCAATCCAAACCTCAAACCAATTTCAAAGATATTTTCCTTTACATTTTACTTTCACTTTTAAAATTACACCCACGTAAGCTTTTCAAAGATCGACGCACTACTTTGTAAATTTCATATATGCGATGCGTTTAATTAGTCCATCTTTACCTTGAGGAAGGAATCCGACTTGATCTAAACTGTTATTTATGATAATGTTGTTATAAGACATAAATGTAGACTAGATTAGTTACCCCAGCACCAGACTTCCAGACATTCACAAGAACTTAAGTGCATTTCCTCATTCGAAGGAGGGCGGATTTAACTGGAAACGATACGTACGTCCTGTATTGCGGCTACAATTTTAAAATATTATGCAAAACGTACAGTAGGCATAGCCTAAATAAATAGGTTATGGATTTATTCCTACTAATATATTGCTGCTGTAGGCTATGTGACGGGTATTATATACGGTAATTAAATAGGAATCGAGTGAGTTCAAACAAATAAGGGCATTTTACTGGGAAACTGCTGTATATGCAAATACAGGGCTGTCAACTTTGGTCAGCTGGTTGGCGTGAGATTTTCAATTTCAGACAAGTCCGCACACGCATTTACACCTTTGTGACAGTTTTATTCCCTTGTAAATGGCCTGTAGGGTTTGCAAACTACCTCAACGCTTTCGCTGCAGCTAATTTTAGGTTTATAATGTAATAATATAAATTTGCCGTAAGATTTCTTGCACGAGCGTGAGAGTCCGAAAGCGTGAGTGTCACGCCAGATGCGTGAGAGTTGGCAGCCCTGCAAATATGACAATAGAGTTAATCTGTGGAACATTTTTAGTTTTACAGAAGTTTTCACTACGTTGCTGTTGGATCATATGTGATGACGATTTTTTTCACTTACTGTATATCTTTAATTGTTCGTGTACTTTTGCAATATCGATCTATCTACCTAGTCACTACCAAGATTTGAATTAAGCAGATTTTGGGTTATTCTTAACTACTATTGAGAATGTTTCTGCCAAAAACTTGCTCGGAGCACAATAGTTATGTATGTATCCATCCATCCATCCATCC